GCAGAATCACCAAAGGAAGTGAGAAACCAGGAAAATTTCTGTTATGAAATATATTTCCTTCAAGCTGTCTTTAACTGACAACCAAAGCTGACATATTATATATACTAACCTAAGTTCAAATCAGTAAGTGAATGATTTCCAGTATCTATGTTCTATCACCCTGAAGAAATGAACTGTTCTAAAATATTGCTTTCTAAAAGAAAAACTGCTATTATTGTTCCAATAAATAATTATATATGGCTGGTTAATTCCTCAGAGGCAACAGCAGACTGTGTGATTTTGAAGGGTGTGTGCATACTCTTTGAAGTACTGCTGTAGCTCAGACAGCACCACTGTTTTCACTGATATGCAAAATGCACCAGATGGTGAGTGATGCTGCAGCCTCCTGAAGTTCCAAAATAAGACCAGGAGATGTTACAGTTAGAAAAGTGAGCAGTGCAGGAGTAGGAATCAGCAGGTTTGGTTTTTGCTGTTCAGGCAGCCACACTAAGTGATCACTGTCGCAGTGTATGACACAGGCCCCTCTGTGACTGCAGGGTGGCACAAACTGAGAGCTGAAAGTTTAACACGTGTGTGGGTTTGAAGTTTTTCATCTCTCAGTTTCAAGCCGTGGACAAACCAGTTGGACAGCCCATGTTTTGAGCCAGTGCAGCGTTGCCAGGTGGTCAAGGTTAGGGCATAATCCCACCAACAGCATCCTTGCAAAAGGCAGGAACAGCAACACAGAATTCCAGCAGTTTTTTCCCTTTTAGTGTAAATCAAGTTGTGAAAGAACCATGAACAGGGGATTGCTCATCTCAGAACCACAGGGAAAAAGGCAGGCTTTGACTGGTGATCTGTGGCCAATAATGAATCCTAGTGGATGGAGATCTTCATCTGCAATTAGAGGTCATTTACAGCTTTTATTACAAGCAAATTATTACATAATTTGCTCCCTCAGCAATGTTCACTCATTATTTGATGGATTTCCTCCTGTTAGCTGAGGTTGGCATTAGCACCCTGTAAAGTAACTTTAGATTTGGTATAATTCAGTAGGGGACCCCAAAGACAATGTCTTCCCTGGGAAAGAAACACTTACATGCTTGTACTATCACATAGTCCAGAGTTTCCACAACAGGATGGAGGTTTGCCAAGTGCACTCTGTGATCACAAATTAGATTTAACAACCTTTATATTTTATGCTTACCAAAGCCCACTTTCATAATGGTATGAAAAAACAGGACCAGTATGAAAAGAGTCAATACAATCACAAAGATTATTAAAGGTTATACACATCTATTTGAAGAAACAACAAGGTTACCAATAAATTTGGAATATGAGTGTCTTGGTCACCTGGAAATTGCTTGCATGACTTCAGTGACACCACATATTCATAGTCACAGCCAAAGAAAAGACTATTTAAAGGTGTTTTAACCCATCAAGAGCTACTTTGATATTCCACACCAGAAAAAGTCTAAGTAGTAAGCGTTTGTAATAATATAAATTATTTTATTATTATGCAAATCACCATGCATAAAGAAAAGTATTCCTTCTTCGTCCTTGAACATTCCCTGAAATTTAATTTGGAACCTAATTTACATTCAATTAACATTTTGAAGTTCTACTTACTTTCTACTTTTCTACTTGCCTACATGATTTAAATCATAAGAGCAATTCTTTGCTTGTAGAACAGCTGGGAGATGGGGAGTGGTTTCTGCTCCAGTAGCAGATACACGAATCCAGCCTTGATTAACTTTCCCTCCTGCATTTCAGAACTCTGCATCTCTCTTTCAAGGCTGGGCACCAAGACAGACCTGATCCACAGTTCCTGTGCTGAGAGAACCTGCCAGCTCTCAATGTTGCCTCAATGAGCACTGAGAGAAGTGAATTTGGGAAGTTTGCCTACATCCTTCCCTTCTGTGAGATACACATCATTGACTCCAGCTCAGTGGCTTATAGCAGGAAAACACCTGTGTCCAGATGAACATTAGAAAGGGATTTAAATTATTTTTTTCTAAAATCTATCCCACAATATGGGGAGTTTGGATTTGGTGAATGTAATGAAATATGGCTTGATTTTATGAGCTGCTCAATGGCAAATCTGCACAGGATCCAGTGCATTTCTAGGACTTGGCTTAAATGCTTCCAAAACAGACTAAGCAGAAAAACGTATGAACAGCACATTCTAACCCAGGCATTTTGTGATACACTCCTAACTGCATTCTTACATAGCTCCCCATGGAAGAAGTGAGAGTTCAAAGAGAGACAGTGACTTTGCCTAGGTGAAAAGTATTTACTCAGCTAAAGCTGTGATAGACAAACTCCAGCAACTCCTCCTGAAGTGTTTTATAATTATATTGCCCCTAATTAATCATCTCTGCATTTGTGGATGCTCCCCTAAGCAGCTACAGAGCTAGATTCATGTCATATTAGCTGAGATGCCAGTTCTGAACTACAGTGACAGGCTGTTGGACCAACACTCCTTTCTAATATCTTTGGGGGTGTTCACTTCCAGCCCTGGGTCAGGACAAACAGCTGTGGGAAGAAAACATCCTGGCAGATGGCTGTAGCTGTTTGCTTCAGTGCACATCAGCAACTCCAGCAACAGCTCCTCAGTCTGCCTGGAAGATCTCACTTCTCAGGTGCTAATTAGCATCTCACGTGAGATCTGATAAGGGACTGCCACCAACATGGATAATCTTAATATGCACCAACAGATCCTTTGTGATGTGTTAGTCTGAGAGCACAGCCACAAATGCAGCCTTGAAATACTTTAAATATGGTTTTCAAAGGCTCCCAAATCTAGGAGAAAAGATTAGTTGTTTGTACTGTAAAGTCTCATGGGATTTTTCTCTTCTGCTGAGGCTGACATGTTGCAGAGTTTAATTTGAAAGAAAGGTACACCCAAATTCCCCTTGCTTTCTTCAAGGTTGCTTCAGTGAGCTGTTACTGATTTTCTGGACCAGTTCTTGAGAATGTGTGCTGGGTTAGTCAGATATTCAACACATTGGTAATTCAGGTTTCCCTCAGAAATGAGGTGTCCCTCCACACCAATCTAAAGGTCTTCCTTCCCAGAAGTTTCTGAGTCATCACTATTTCCTCATTCATATTTCAAGGATGTTCCTAAGCCTAAATGTCTCACAGTATTAAGAGCAGAACACCACAAGCATGAACTGATCACAGGTTTCTTGACATTCTTGTTGGGAAGCATGAAAGTTTGACAAGAAAGTCTCACAGACATGTATGCTTGGCAGAAAGATTTTTGAATGTAGAATCAGAAGAAGGAACAGAAACAAAAGCAACTTTTGATATAGAAGAAAAGAATTGCTGATCCACTTTTACTGGATAACTAAAAAGGCAAAGGGTATGTTAGTTAGAAGGGGTTTTTATGGCTTAGAGCAAAGGATAAACCCACCTCAAACAAGATGTTTTTTCCAAGAATAAAGATACCACAGGCAAACAAGACTACCAATGCTGCAAGTAGAAAAATCATCCACTGCAGAATTTTCCACTGCAACAAAACTGAAAAACAACTTCTAGCTTAAAATGTAACATACTAACTTTTAGTGATGGGAGAATAGTAACATGAATACGGTAATTATAGTAGTTATGATAGGCTATAGGTAAAAGTTAAGGTATAGACTGGTTCTTCTGTATTAAGATGCTCAGCAAAGAAAATTATATAATGCACTGTAACCAAAATTAAAGGGTCTTCAGGCTTGTCTGCAGCTGGAGCTGACAGCTGTAGCACAGGCTCTGTTGCCCACAACCCTGGACTGCTGTGACATCTTGGATGTAAAAAAGCCTCCTGGAGTCCTCCATCCCTCGTTACAGCTCTTACACGTTCTGACAATTATAGTATTTTTCTCAGTAGCTTTAAGTTTAGGCCTGTTTAGCAAATTTTTTTTTCATTCATGTTCTGCTAGGCATCTACCTGAGTAATGCAACTCAGGAAGGCTGAAATATCTTGAAATCAGGTGATTATATTCTACAGGTTTCTTTCCCTGCTGTCACTATGAGGAACTAAACATGCACAATAGACTGGAGTGTGTCTGACAGCCCAAACCAATCTCAAGTACATCTGAAAAGCTACTTTATGCTACATCAATATGTAATTAAGCTCCAGGCCTGTAGATTTTCACAACCATTTCAGTGCCAGAAATGTGTGGGCTGAAATACTTAATCTCATTTGCACTAGAATTCTTAACAAGGCAATCAGCATTTTGGGAATTTCAGATGACTGTCAGGTTGTAACAGTTCTCACAACAGTAAAAGTAGTTGATGATAGGTCAAATCTACAGATCCTCAGGAATAGCTCACATAACAGCCAAGCAATATTTTCTACTATTATGAGAAAACAAGGATCATGTAGCAGTTTTTTTGATGCATTCATGATAAAACTCAAAGCACTACTTTACCTTATAAGATATAGCTAATACACATCAAGTAATGCATATTAATCTCAATCACACTGAAAAGATACTGCACAGAATCCTTTCAGCTGCCTCTTGATTATTTATCATTTACTAAATCTCAATGAAGTCCAGTTATTTAATTATTTTTTACTCATAGTTTGTTTACTAAACAAAAATCAGTGACAACGGCACGTAGTGGCTTCCTGTGTTAATCTACTCTAAAATCTGATCTAAAATTGTAGAAATGCTATTACCTAGAAGTGCTGCAACAGATAAATTATTTCACCCAGTTAACAGTAATACTTTTCAGTCCCTTTCCCTTTTCTACATACAGAACACTCACAAAGCAGCATCATGTTGGTTTTACTGAGAGAAACCAGCAATGTCATCAAAGGGATTTCTTCCCTGAAAAACAGTCACGGTCTTTGGATGATGGATTAACAGAAACCTTTCTGCACTTCACAATAATGTCATGTTGAGTACTTGCCAATTGAAAATCTTTGCAATGAAAACAAATTGACACAAAATATCTTCCCAAATCCAACTATATTAATTCTAGTGAAAAAAAAAATTTAAGGAAATCTAAAATTTTAAAATTACACTTACCAGGAACAAAGCTTCCCTGGACCACCTCCTTATAAGCCCACCAGCCTTCATGGATTTTTGGTGAATTTTGTTGAGCTAGAAAGAAATAATCAAAGAAACTATAAAATTAGGGCAAAACACAGGACTTAATTAGCTAAACTTTAGGAACTTTAAACAGGGTACTATTCCTCTACAGAAGAGTCACTCAAATTCCTAGGTGATCTTTACTCAATCTACAGAATCATGCTATGCATATGTATCTTGGAGAACTTTGTCCCTGTTCATCACACAGTAAAATACACTCTGCTTTCGAAGACTTGATCATGAAACTTAACAATTCAGGTAGAAAATGAGGATTTATAGCACTACCAGTGGCTTCTGTGCCCTCTATAAAGTTAATATGGGATAAAAATGCCGAGAAAAAGAGTGCTTAGTAGTCAATACCTGAGTCCAAGTTGTCTGACTGAAAAGCAGTTTCTGCCCTTCCTTTCCTGAGTTTCCCAGTGATCTTTCACTTTGCATGCGAAGAAGTGGCAGAGTGAACCACAGCCAATAATATCTGTGTCTGTCACTGCTTCATGTCATCCCACGAGCTCTGAGTTCCAAAACCAGGCCAGAAAGGCACAGCCCACAGCTTCCCCAGCATTGGCTCAGGTTCCAGTGCTGAGGCAGGAATTTGGTTTTTTCCACCTTCTCTGTCTGTGTTGGTGGTTTTTCACGAACAGAATGGGACTGCTGGGATACATTCCTTGAGATTTTACTGCAGCATCAGTCTCATTATATGGTTGAGACAATAGAAAGAGGGCAATAGCTCACATCTTGCCAGCAGCAGCCAAAAATTTATTTGTTGCAGAGCATTTTAAAAACTTTCTAGCCAATAGCGTATTGCTAAAGCTTACAGACAATTGTTCTAGGCAATCACTAAAAGCACATGTACACCTGCTTCACAAAATGCTTGCTTGTATGCTCTCTATTAACAATACACAGTACTTCATTATTAAGCTAAAAACCTCCAATTATCTTGCGAAACATATTTTTCTACAGTCTTAAGATCTATCTTAGCCAAGTCTAAAACTCAAGCTATTGTTTTGTGTCCTGGCTTACTGTACTATTGTAACTTTTTCTACCTTCAGACTTTGCAGCTGCAGCTAGTTCCAAGTTTTCTGTTCTTTCTGTTTCCAAGGCCTGCTTTTACAGCCTTCTGGAAATCTTTTTACCTTTACTATTTCCCATATTTCCCCCTCTTGGTACAACCACAAAGAAACTCTCTTAACTTTGTTTCTTATTGACTACGTTGCATTACAAAGCTCTACTACAATACATATTTCTTTTTGCTTGCTTCAGGCACCTCTCTTACTTGCTTTAAGCATTACTATTTTACACCACAGCAATTTTTAATGCTATAAAAGATCTATTCAAAGGGTATAACTCAAATCCGACTGTAGTTACTATTTATGGTTGTAATAAGTCTCACCCATTAAAGCCTGTCTATATGTCTACACTTGTATCCACTATCTCTGTAAGATCTTGAGAACTTTCTGTGATTTTATTTCCTACATCTCTCTTTTGTACAATAAAAACTTATTTGATTTGTCCATCATTTACTGCACACATCAAAGTATATAAGGTGCCTCTACTAGTACCACCACTAAAACTACTAACATATACAAACCTATTTTACAAAGTTCCCTTAACTAAGGTGTAAAGCTCCATCCTTTGAACAAATCATCTAACCATGATTCACCGTCTTCTTTCATTTGAGCTGTTAGATCTTTCAGCTTTGGTGGATAGATTAGAATGGTCAAGCAGATTCACACAACACAATCCTTCAAATTCCTCACAACCATGTCCATAAGCCAGTAAAAGAAAATCAATTACTGCTCTATTTTGAAGGGTAGCATGTCTAACACTGCTGATGTCTGTCAGCATATCACTGATTGCAATGATGTGGCATTGGTTTACTCAGCCTACACATAACTCAATCTAACTGTTTCAATGCCACGGCAGAAGCAATTTGGGGTAGAAGTAAACCTGCTGAAACTCTTTTCATAGCTTTCCAGGGCCTAAAATCACTGTTACAATTTTCTTCATATTGATAGACAACTTTTTCCTCTATGTTTTTTCTTAATGACTGTCTTAGCACCAGGTGCTAGTACAATAAGTTGTCCAATACTATATGGACCACCCTCATGGCATGATGGAATATCTTTTCAAGCCCTATCTCCACAAATGAACCAATATCCTTTTGGTAATTGTTGTGGATATTGGTCAACCCTGGAAACTCCACTCCAGCTGGCTGAGTAATTACACCAAAAACTCGAGTTCCTGTAAGCAGGGTAATTGGGAGTGACACTGTGTTTCAGAGGATCATTCTCTCACCAATTGCTATCTGAAAATGTAAGAGAGAAATTAATTGTTAAGGAACCAAGAATCTCCAATTCCTGGGGTTCAGAAGGTGCTTCAGGAAGTTCTTTGGTCCAAATGTCCCAATCAGCTACAGCATTGCTTGCCTTTGGCAACCTCAGCTGATTTAATATTAAGTTGCTTTTTGGTCAAGGAATCATAATGTCTAGGTATCAGACAATCTTTTATGGGTACACCCAATAGACAGGTTGAAAAAGGCTTTTCTGAGTTCGAATTGGACAGGCATATGGTGTCCAAGCCTGCTGCCTTGGCTAAGGTCACCCAAACATTTGTTTTTGGCTGTTCCACAGGAAAAATCTGCACTGCAAGAAGTTAGCAAAGCTAGCCAGCACCAGCATAACACTTGATTTCGCTCCATACCTTTCGTGAGCTATTTTTTGGCAAAAGATTTTCTCATATGTTTCAGCTTACAAATTCTGGAGCACCCACACCTGTTCCCCCTCTTCAGCCACCCAGGTAACTTGGCAAAAACTTGCTTGTGACTGGTGTCTCTGACATGCAGCTCTTTCACAGTGTGAGAGAATCTGGGAGCACAGTGCAGGAACACAAGAAAAGTTTTCTCTGATCAATATTCTGAAGGTTGTAGCAACAAAAAGCCTAAGCTTTGCATGAGGTTTGCCCCGGTAAGACTTGTTGCCTAAATGACTTCTCCAAAGTCCCGAAAAGCCAAAAGCAGAAATTGGTCATGTTTGCTGCTCTTTGTCATCGCTTCTCTTTGTCTTTAAATTGGAATTCGAGCAAATTTTGTGGTCAAAATGTAAAGTCACTATTAATTGGAGATATTTTCAAAGGGCACACAGACATACATTCAGCTGATCTCCATAGGAGCGAAGAGCTGATATACCAGTATGTTCTGCCTTCACCTGTGGTTTGCTTGATATGTTCCTATTTAGAGGAACTCTCCCTGAGCTACAGAAAGCTCAAGTTACCTTGTGCATCATTTGACTTACATTTTGGGGTTGTCTTCTTTTTAAGACACTCTCAATCTCTTTCACTAGGGCCAAATTTTTTTTTTTTTTTACATAAATTTGCAGTTACAGAAGATGCTGGATTTAGCAGCTTATTGCTGCAGTTTCAATTCTAAATCACATATTATTTACGAAAAACACAATTACCCTGGGAAAAGTTCCAGCAGTGTAATAAAAATTGTTGCTGTCATTAGAAATTATGAAGAGGATGTGAAATTCAGGCTAAAAGGGATACAAGATAAAGACCATCATACTGTTCTATCAAGTTACAAAACAGTATTTATGATTTAACTGACTGTACATTGCAAGAACAAAAGTAAAACTTATGTTAATTAAATGTACTTTTTAAAATCCAACCATGCCAGTGGGCTGGGGTACATGTGGATGCAGATTTCTCATTGCAGGACTGATGTTGTTCCACTAACTGAGTAGTGATGTGTTACACTGAAGGGACTCTTCCACTGTGCACCCTTTGCAGTCTGCAGATGAAATTGTCCTCATATTTTAGTTTTTATAACATTGCCTGGAGAACTCCAACTGTGCATGGCTTAGTTGTGCTAGACCACACTGTACAAACATTTGCAAAATGGCAAATCCCAACTCACAATCAAAATATATCAGCAGAAAATTGTTACTATCCGGTCTGAACTGCAATTTTTTTTTTTTAATCTCAACACTTGCTTTCATGTCCTCAACAGGAGAAGTTCTTAAAGATTCCAAAATGGCAGTAGGAGAAGATACTAAAGAGTCCAAACAAAGCAGAGCCATAAGTCTTCTACTTAAAATTTCCCAGGAAATTACACTGCATTAAAGTGCATCTTGTAGTCATACACACAGCTCAAATCGGTTCAGCCAGGAAGAGGCAGATGCATTTTAGAAGTAGCTGAAAAAAATAATATATATTTAGAGAGGTAAAAGTAATCTAAGAATTCAGGTAGGATGGATATTTTCAAATGCAGCTGCCTAATATCAGCATTCATCAAAATGTATATAATTGAAAAATATATTGCTTTCCCCCACTCTGGGGCAATCTGAATGATACATGCCAGGTCCAGAAGACTTGGAGTTTATATTAAACCAAAACTGAAATATGCTGGCTCTGCAGTTCTGCTTCAGTGGGTTACCCCAATACTTACAATAGCTAATTCCAAAAGGAAGAGCAGGAAAAAATATTTTGATGACATTTTTTCATATCTGCTTCATTAGTATGGAACAGGCTGCATGAAATGAGCAAGAAAACTAGATTATCAAAGCTCTGTACTAAATAATTGGATGCCAGTGCAGTTGCTTCAGCTATCAGAAAAGAGCATGACCTGGCATCACTCTGCACATTCCTCAGACATCAGATCCTTATGTCTCCAATTCACATGAAAATGAAACACAGGAAATACAATACCAAACTAAGATGTTGTGCCCTATATCTATATCTAAGGTAGAGCAAGAGCTACACTAGCAGCACTATTGATGCACAGAGAACTGAGTCCACTGAGGAAACCCAGAGGCAAGGCAGGTGGGGTTGTGAGGAGGCAGTTCAGTGACAATCTCCAGTGCTGTGCTATTTTCTGAACCCTGAAACCTCAACATTTTATAGCAGTCTAGACAAAACATCCTGCAAAGTAATGCAGAGAGTGACTGAACACAGATTTCCACTCTGCAGTGCATGTGAAATCCAGCTTGGTGCTGAAGATTTACTTGGATGGAGCC